TAAATATTTAAAAAAAGCTCTATATATTTTATTATTTTCCCTAAAGTAAAATATTACTCCGCATTATTTTTTGCAATTATTATTTTTAAATTACATAATTATTACTTAATTTTTATAATATAAATAATAATTGAATAATTATTATAAGGAAAGTATATATTATAATAGTGAAAAAAATATAATATACTACGTAATTGTTAGTTAAATTATAGCAAGGGAAGGTTGGAGATGACAATGTAAAATGGCTGGTTATAGCACTATTCACGAGAAATTTACCTAAATAGGACTAAAACATAATGACTTTTCCAATATAGGACTATATGTTTTTATTTCCCAATGTAGGACTTTTGGTCATTATCAAGTAGTCATTATTCAACTAAATGTCCATCATTACTAGACATTATTCCTTCCACTAGGTCATTATTAAGTCCTATTTAGGGAATAAAAAAGTTTAAGTCTCTATATTAGGAAAAATCATTATATTTTAATCCTTTTTTTAGTGCAAATTTCACTATCTAATAATGACACACAATCCACATCAACTAACTAAGCATATTTATTGAAGTTGATGCATGTGGGCCTTCTCCTCAACTCCACGCGGCATTCAAGTAAAGGGCTGGTTTACCGGGTCTATGAGATGGACATCGGTTGCTCGATCGAAAAACCAGTCAACCAACGCACTGTCGAAACACTTTGACTTTTAATTTGCCCCGGAAACATTGGCCCTTTGTAGCCCTGCGCTGTTCCGAGACTGTGCATGAAGAGGGTTGTGAGTAGATACCCCTTCGGGCTACTTGGTCGGGGAAATTCTCTGATTGTTTGGACCCGAAAGTTTCGGAGGAGTGCCATGTCGCTCCGGCTAACGTTGTGGTGTATGACATTGTCATGCAAGGCCTTAGAGAACGTGTTCGTCACCTGGAACAAATCGAACTCCGAGTTCAAAATGAACAACAGCAAATCGATGTACCGCACCAGATTCCCGGAATGTCCTCCTCGCCGGGTGTTCGTTCGGGGAGCTCGGAGTCATGGTGCACTGTGACCGGTTCCGGTGCCTATTCTCGAGGAACGTAAGTGTAAAGTGTCACACAGTTCCCTCTTCGGCAACGTTGTGGGTATGCATCGTCCGGACAATGCCTTGCCCAGACAGTGCATACCCACAACGTTGCCGAAGATGTCGTCGAAGAACCTCGCACGACAGGGGTCTTTGTTGTGGAGGAAGAACCTCGCCAGTAGTTTTTAACTCTAATTTAGTAGTTCAAATAGTCAATACTAAAGCTTTAATTATCTTTATGTATCTATGCAAGTTTAAATTCTATTCTTTAAAATGCCAAGTTTAATTTCTTGTATATTAATAAGAAATGCTGGTAGAATCTTGATTATGTTATCGGAACAATTATAATCAAATTACATCACATTAAGTATAAGGTTAGCAATGAATTAATTCTATACTGAATTTGTTAATTTAAGATCTGTTGATATAGATCAAGGATTATGCTATGTGTACCCCAAGGTTTGTACCTCAATTTGTACCCCGCAGTTTTGCACCAACACTTTGTGTTGGTGTAAAACTAATTTTTGTTAAACGCACCAACATTTGTGTCCGTGTGAATATTTATTAACGCACCAACACTTGTGTCGGTGTAAACCATCGAAATGTTTGTGCAAGCCTGTGGTGTACAAATGGAGTATATTTTTTGGTGTAAGTGTATCATGGTCCATAGATCAATTCTAATTCAATTTAACTTTGATTTGATGTGACCTAATGTGATTTCATGCGGGGGGAGAATCGGGAGATTAGGTGAAAAGGCTTTAATTCGTACTTTCATTTTAATTTCATACTTCTCTCCCAAAATGTTCATCATATAAAATGAAATAAAATTTTACTGGGGTAATTTTTTCAATTTATTTTTTCACATGTTAATACAAAAATAAAAATTAGTTTCATATTTAAAGAACTATTCCCTGCGTCTATAAAAATTTTCCTTTCATTTTTTATCCCTCCCAAAAAATATTCCTATTTTGTACTTCCTCCGTTTTTTAAAAGTGTTCCTATTTTGACTTTGTGTAAAAATAAGGAAGTGTTAAATTGTAGTTGACTTCCAATTTTGCCCTTGATGTGATGGGTAAAAGTAAGATGTGATGGATTGAGTATTAGAGAAAAAGTATGATGTGATAGGTAAGGTATGAAAAAGTAAGGGTAAAAGTGGTTTTTTAAAAGAAAGTGGAAGTGTTTTGTTGGAAGTAAAAAAAATGAAAGAGGAAGAGTTTTTGAAAACAGAGGGAGTATTAAAAATCCACTTTTACCTCTGCTTATTTATATATGTGTGTGTGTGTGTGTGTTTTGGTTCCGGTGAGAGTATAATCTAATGAAAGAAATAAGAATGAATATGGAGCGTTAGATGAAGTAATTTTATATTAATATAGTCGTGGGCTTTTTAGGTATTCTAATGCTAGGCCTGTCTTTTTTCTCAAATGTTCTCATTAATTCCACAATTTTAGGCATGATTGTTGTAATTAGTTCAATCCCATTAATTAACTCAAGAGTTACTTAACCCATATGCGTGCATTTAAAAAAAACCCAATAATTTTTCTATTTTGTAGTTAATTGGAATTTCTTTAAACAAAATCAATCAGTTTTTTTCTCTCTTTGAAATACACTTACCCTGTTTGTTTTTTCCTTTGTAGAAAAAGTTACGGTTTAATTTTTTTTGGGTCAAAATGGAAAAACTTTAGCAACGAAATTTTAAAAGAATGTATTCAATAATTTTGGACACAACAGCCCTATCCAATTTTACAAATTAAAATGGTTTGTTTTTTGTTTTTTGTTTTTTGTTTTTTATTTCTTTGTGTGTGTATTAGATTTTCTTTGCTTTCTTCAAATTTGTTGTGGTAGTAATTGTAAGACCAAACTGATTGAGATAGAATTTACAAAAAATGAAGCTGATTTAGGTTCTTATTCAATGCGTTCAACGTTCATGTGCATTAAAAATAGAATAATAAACAAAGCCTACATGGGCACTTCTAGATGTATATTATACACTTTAGCTATGCACCATAAAGAATTTAAGGTGCATCATAACATATTTTCTATTGTTACTAAAGTTCAATGAGCAAAGTCTACATGGGGTTATGTTATTTTTCATTTTAAAGGTAAAAGTAATGCATTCCATTAGTGTGAATTCTTGGAGAAAAGTAAAATTCATCTATCACATGGTAAAACTCTTTACACAAATATGATGAACTTAAGTGAAATTTTTGTAAAGATGATGCATTTAAAATATTTTGTAATGCATTTGAATATGGGTTTTTTAAGAGAATATGGGTTAGAATATGATGCATTTGTATATTCTTGCGCGTGAATTTTTTTCAAACAATATGATGAAATTTTCTCAACACAAATGATGATGCATATATATGTTCTAGCTAGTGAATTTTTTCAAACAATAATGCATTAAAAATATTCTATGATACATAAAAATATGGTTAGGAACTCTTTGAATGATTTAAAAATATGAACATACATATTTAATGAGTCAAGTGCAGGATGAAACTATCTTTAAAAAAATGAATCGTTATTAAATAGTTAAAATGGTGGAGCGATATATATATGTGCCACAGTTTTGCACTTGAATCTTTCATAGGAAAATTATTTCTCAAATCTAAATTACACGTGCTCTGAATACAATACATTCTTATCATATACAAAGTCACTCTGAAACCGTTATTTACTAATCCACAAATTATTAGAATAAAATTAAATAAAATTTAAGCGATAATTGACAGTGCATATATCGGCCATCATGGAGCGCATTTGTGCATAAAATCATACTTGATGCTGCATTTATTTGGTTAAATAATAGAGAAAAAAGTATCTATAAATTTGACTATAAAATATAAAAATATCAAAAATTTATATTGAATATTAGTATCATCGTCTTACGAGATATTTTCAACGATATATTATTTTACAAAAAAAAGAGTTGTATACAAAAAAAATATTTAAAAAATATTCAAAGCAATAGAGTAATTAAATAAAGTTAAATTAATATTATATTATTCAAATATAGTAATATTTCTAAATTGAATAAGGAGTGGCTCGTGGGAAGTTTTGAACTAAAGAGAATATATAAGTGCTGAGATAATTGCCACATTAATGCATCACAATTTTACCAAATTGCCCATAGATATTAATTACTCCTAGTTTTAGTGCATATGTTTACTCCTCTCCATAAATAAGATGAAAATTAATATTGGAGGCTTTCAAAATGTTAATCATTGGATGCACTAGATCTAATGATCAAGATTTATTCTTATTTCTTTCATCATGAGTCATTCTCACCTGAACCAACACACACACACACATATATATATGAAGTGTGGTACACGTTAAGGGAAGCTTGTTTCCCTTGGTTGTACGAAGGAAAGGTATTTTCCTTCGGGTTGAAGTCTTGGAGTGTGGTATCTCCGAGCAAGTGTTATTGAGGCTCGTGGGACTCGAGTTCTCAGGTTGTAATGGTTTGTTAAGCACCCGTAAGCTTAACGGAAGTAGTGTAGCTCGAGATAGTCTCTCGGGAGACTGGATTAGCCACACGTTGTGGACTTGTGGTGAACCAGGGTAAATTCGGTGTGCCTCTTACTCTTCTCTTTACTTCTCCTTTAAAGTTTTTTATTCCTGCGATTTCTTGATCAAACGCTATTCACCCCCCTCTAGCGTTGGTCTATTATTCTAACAGAATAAAATTTAAGGAACACAAAACACATATATCATCATCATAGTACATTTATACCTTTCAAAAAAATTGCGTCCCACAATGTCCTATCCATTTTAATTAAAAAACTACTTTTACCCCTTACTTTTTCAAACAGGATCATACTTTTTTCTTATATATACATATTCCCCTGATCGAGTTAAAGCCATCAACCATCCACAATTCAATCTAAATTCACCTACCTACTACTAGCGCCTTTGCTAGCTCGATCTCCTCCACAATCACGCTGCTAGCACAGTATGGCAACAGAAAACACCACACCTCTCTCTCTCCTCAAAATAATTCTCTCTGTTGTGTTGCTGTTGCTCCTCCAACACACAATCAAGGTCTCCTCTGTTCTCCGCATCCTTCCCGGCGCTGTATCCCAAGGCGCCGTTTGCCTTGACGGCAGCCCTGCCGCCTATGATTGGGATGCCGCATGCATCCTTTGAATTTCTCCCAGTATCATGTTCTTTCCCCTCACTCCAGTGACACATATTTTTACAACTGGAACCGTGTGGTGGTGAGGTCTTGTGACGGCGGATCATTCTCCGGCGACGCCGACAAGCCCGATCCTGTCACGGGCCTTCACTACAGGGGCGCGAGGGTTTTCCGCGCTGTCGTGGAGGAGTTAATGGCGAGGGGGTTGAAAAATGCCCGTAATGTCCTCCTCGCTGGGGGTTCGTCGGGCGGGCTCGGGGTCATGGTGCACTGTGACCGCTTCCAGCGCCTCTTCTCGGGGAACACGAGGGTTAAGTGCTACGCCGACAGCTCCCTCTTCCTTCGCGTCAAAGACCCCCGCCGCGCGAAGTTTTTCAACGACGTCCTTGGCAACGTTGTGGGTGTGCACCATCCGGACAACGCGTTGCCCGGACGGTGCACTTCGAGGCTAGGCGCGACGGCGTGTTTCTTCCCGCGGAACCTGGTGCGGTATATCGAATCGCCGTTCTTCATTTTGAACTCGGCGTTCGACTCGTTCCAGGTGAGGAACACGTTTTCGGAGGCCTTGCACGACAATGTCATACACCACAACGTTAGTCGGAGCGACATGGCACTCCTCCGAGACTTCCGGGGCCAAACAATCGGAGCCCTGCCACCGCCAAGCAGCACAAAGGGGTACCTAATAACATCCCTCTTCATGCACAGTCTCGGTACGGTGCAAGGCTTCAAAGGGCCAATGTTTCCGGGGCAAAAGTCAAAGTCTTTTGAGAGTGTGTTGGTCGATTGGTTTTTCGATCGAACGACCAATGTCCATCTCATCGACCCCGCGAAACAACCCTTTTATTGAACGCCCCGAGGAGTTGAGGAGATGACATCAACATAAATAAATGAGTTTAATTAGTTGATGTGAATAATGTGTCATTAGCAATGTGTCGTTAACTACTACTTAATGAATATTATTGAGCTCCTGTGTTCTTAATTAGTCTCCTCTTTCCTCAATTATTGTATGATTAAGTTTTTGTTCCCGAACACGTCATGGGGCTCTATATCTAATCTCTCTCGTGGGATTCACTGATACGTTCCATTAATAGTAAAAATTAAAATAATTACCATTAATTTTCTCTAAAAAAAATTACTCATTGTTTAATTGAAGTCTGTACAAATTTACTCCTAAATTTAATTGATATTTGATAATAGAGCACATGGAAAAAGTTTGACGTACAAAAAAAGATATCTTGATTTTCTTATTATTGTCAATTACTTACCCCTTTCATTTCAGAGTAACTTTTTCCGTCAAAATAAGTAAATATTGACTCCAAATTAAATAAAAATGATACTCCGAGGTATTAGATATTGATACACAAATAGTTTTAATAAATTTATTATATCAAATATGTTTGAAATATTATTTTATCTAATCAATATTTTATGTAATTATCGATAAAAAGTTAAGAATGACCGATTGAAAAAAATTAAAATTAGATAAATACTCTACAATGAATTACCATTTCTTTTACCCAACTCACACTTTAATTACTTAGCCCAACCATTTCTTTCTTTTACGAGTATCTAACTTACACTTTAATGACTTAGTCCAAAATAGATAGGACACAAGGAGGCAACAGAAAAAGGTGACATGGGAAGAAAATAGTCACATTTAGCGAAGTGTCTAAATCCATATTGGGACTTTTAATTGCTTGCCCTGTCAATGCATTAATTTCTCCATCTGCCTTGATCAACTTTTTCCTCTTTCGATTCTTTCATTATTTTCCTCCCAAAAGAAAAAAAACCCATTGTTTCCTTGTATGCTTATCCAAACATTGGATGCATTTTTAAGAAGGAAAGAAAATAAATATTTAAAATGTGGAAGAATAAAATGGGTACTCCATTAAACGGGTCCTCGTCGTCGGAGTTGTCGAGGTTGAAGGGAGACCTTTGTTCCGAAGAGCCGATAGTCTCATCGGACTCAACCTCGACGGGAGATCTTTTCTTTGACGAACCGGCCTCGGGATTGTTGAGTTAGGACTAGCATTTTCAAAGTTAATCTGCACCGTTAAAATTTTATTCAAAACGCTCAAGCTAATCGAACACGCTAGTCCCAATACTACCTCCAGTTTTTGGGCAAAAAGAATTGTCTATAGCATATGGGCAATTGAGAGAAGTAGGGCCACATTTTGCGTCGTTATTAACATATCATCACAAAATATGTTACATGCTGAGAAAGACCTCTTCATAGCACAACTCATAACACTTACAAAATGGTTTCGAGTCACACTCAGTTACCATTCCATGCAATCAATAATAATAATAATAATGTGAAAAGAGCTATTTTTCACAAACACCATTATGATCAGGTTACGAATAACCCTTTCCCTGCTCTCAAAAAATAAAAGTATACTTCATTATTTGATCATCACAAATTTTAAAAAAAGTAAAGTTATGAGGCGAGAGTTTAATTTATGAAGAGGGAGATAAAAGAACAAAGAACAAACGCATGAGCACACTAAGTATTCCCTCAATCTCAATTTGGATTACAAATTAGGAGTTATGGGGGAAAATCTTTCATCTTTTGAAATTGGTGTTTAATGTTCCCGTGCGTTTAAAATACACAAATATGAAAGAATTACTAGATTGGTTCACAAAACACTATAGTTGAATCACATTAAAAAATTGAATCCAGTTGATTAATTACTTCCACTCAAGATCTTATATGTCTATTATTTTCTTCTCATTTTTCCAATGTGGGATATTCTTTAATATTTTTAATGGGTGTTTGGTTTTATTTTTCTTTAAAAAAACTCAAATTCAAATGTTATGCATTATGCTTCACGTGGAAGCATGGGTAAATGCATTTAAAGCTCTTTGCTAATGGAGATGTTTTCTTCTATTCTCACCTTTTTCTGCAGCTTATCTATGCCCTATCTATTTTGTGCTAAGTTAATTAAGTGTATGTTGGGCAAAAGAAAGTGTCAAGAAACCAACTCAACCAATAGCTCAAACTCGTGGTTGTGGCCCAAAAAGAGTTATTTATATTCTAACACGTCCCCTCACGTGCAGGCGTAGTTTTTTCTCGAGCCTTGCACGTGAAACTTTAATTTTCTCAAAACTGGGTGACGCTGAGTTTCGAACCCGTGACCTCTTAGTCAACAAGGCTTCGATACCATGTCAAGTAACCAACTCAACAAAAAGTTCAAGCTTATGGTTGCGGCTCAGGAAAAGTTATTTATGTTCTAAGAGAATGTTGTCAAAGAACTAATTTGTGGTGTAAAGAAATCCATGTGATTTTTTTCTTTTTTTACGTTGAACTTTTTTCATATGCTCCATTATCAACTCAAATTAGGAGTAAATTTATGTCCGTTGCCGTTGTGCGATTAAGAGTACCGGAAATGGTGCTAAAGCCCACAAGCGTTAAGGGTGTTTTAACGCACGGGGACATTAAAGGTTTGACGCATCGCCTCTCCCTCCCCCAACCAGGCATTAATTTTAAAAAACAATATTTTGAATACTATAAATGCCTCTTATTTAATTTGTAACACAACTAACAAACACAAACAACTTATTCTCATTCTCTTCATAATTCATCTAAAATATATTCTATTTATTTTAATTTTCTCTATGAATTATTTGAAAAATGGGATCATCATCTGACAATGAAAAGAGAGATTTCATTTTTTGTTATCCATGGTGGCAACAAGACCAATGAGAAGATATTTTTAGTCGCTCGAATAATCACTAATTTCATAGCAATGTAATGTAAATTTTCTATTTATGCTGTTATTATTCAAATCTTATTATATTAATGTAATTTTTATTGAATGTAATTTTTTTATTTAATGAGTTGTCGTCGTTTAAATTCAATTAAATAATGAAATCTTATTAATTTAATTTTAGAAGACGTGTATTAAAAAATATAAAAAATTGAGGTTTGAAGTCCCAGTTTGAAGCCTCCGGGCTTCAAACGCATTTCCAGTGAAGGTGTAAGTTAAAGCTGATGTGGTAAAGAGAGAAGGTATGAAACCTAGGAGCTTCATCACGACCATTTCCAGTGCTCTAAAAAGACAAGGGATGCACGAAAAATAACAGTGTGATTTCAAACAATCGGAGATGGATACACGTGCAAGGATGTAAGCTATTGTCTTTGTCACCAAGATGTGATTAAAGCTTAATTTACTTTCTCTTGAGTGATCGTCTGACCAATTTAAAAGAAATTCTTAGAAAATGGATTCATGTAACGACCTAAAAATCGGCTTAGTAGTTAGCTGTTATTTTAATAAAAATGAATATAATTTTTTATGAATAAAATATATGAATTATTTGTAAGGTTGATCATTCTATTTAAAATTGGAATCGTTGGGTAAATATCGTAAAAGGATGACCAACATATATGTAATTTGTTAAGTTTGGATCCTTATGTTGTAAGTTATGTATAAAATAAATATTATAATACAATAAATAAAAGACTTGGTAAAAAACAATTTTTGGTTTTATGTAAAAATCAAATAAAAAAAACCGAACCCAACTCTACATATTGTTATTGCTTCATCGGATTAGTATTTTTACAACTTTTTAATGCTTATAAGTTTTACTTTTAAAAACCGAAAAATTGCAAAAAACCGAAATAAAAATCCTATAAAACCGAACGGAATAACCAATGGTTTATATATTTTTTATGTGAAACCAAACCGAAGCATCAACTTACTTTTCGTTTTGTCTTTGGTTTTTGATGTAAACCGAACTGCCAAAACCAAACTCACCCCTATTGGGAGCGTAGCAGTACCATGACGCCGAGCCTGCCGGATGAACCCCCGGCGAGGAGGATGTTACGGGCACTTCTCAGCCCTTGATAAACTTGCCCTTCCACCCCGCCCCAATCCGAACACCCTCCACCCCTTCAATTGCACCCCACAAGTTAATTTTGACTTTGGAGTTAAATTTTGACTCTTAAGTCAAAATTAACTTGTACGGTGTAATTGAAGGGGGGTGAGAGAGTGTGTGCGGCTCGGGCTGGGGTAGGAATTGTCAATTTTATGAACGGAACATCGGAACATCCCTGAGTCATCACATGACATTGCCCGCATGTCATGGGAATCGTCCCCATAAAGTTCTTGTTTACTATTCACAGGATCAAACTTTATTCACTTTGTTGGCCTATTTTTGTATCTTATTTGATTAAATAATATAATCATGTCACCTCTAGTTTTGTAGATCTTTTCATGTAGTTTTTAAATATGTAATTTTTATTTTTTAATTCCATACAATTTTTCATATAAATTGATTTGAAAATAATTTCAGTCAAACATCGTAACGCGCAATGAGAACTTTATTTGTAGTTTATTTGTAGAGGGAGGGAGTATTTTTTAGTCCGGTCAAGTCCGAAAAGGGACCGGTCAAGTTCTGTACTGGATAATGCACTAGCTATATTCGTATAAGTGGGACCCCTTTTGCCCATAAACTAAAATTAGCAATGGTGAATAGTTTCAATTTTTTACCATCCAACTTTTACTCGGACTATTTTTGTGATATTGTTTGGTGAAAATAATAAATACTTTATTCGTCCAAAATGTAAACAATACTCCACTATTTAAAAATTAGAAAATGTTTATTTTTTTAATATTTTTATTGATTATTTGATAAAACAAAATATTTTTGTCATTCCTTGTTTTGTAGAACTTTTGATATAATTTTTAAATATGTAAGTTTTATTTTTTATTTGTTTATCATTCTTTAAATAAAATGGATTGAAAAAATTCAAAATATTACTTTGTTTAGTGTAATGTTACATACATTTTGGGAGGGAGGGAGTGCTATACTTTTAAAACGCTTAAATTAGAACTGCTAATTACTCCGTACTTCGGAGGAGTATTCTCTGATATTCTTTGCACATTAATGTCATTTAGTTTTAAAAAAAGAAAAAATTACCCAAAATAATCCCAACTTTACCCGGCCTTTCAAAAATAATCTCACCTTTCACTGTGATGCATAATAATCCCAACTTTACTGAAATTTGCCAGTTTTGGGTCGCCGTTAAGTTTCTAACGGAGGATTAACGGAAATGCCCGTTTTAGGCAACAAAATGAAAGTTGGGATTATTTTTGATGAATTTTCATTTTTTTTCTTTAAAGAAAATTCTGCCTCCATCATCATTTCTTTTTCCTTTTTTAAAGATTAGTCTTAGTTTAAAAAATAAAAATAATAGATATAAAAAATGAAAAAATGAGAAATGTAACTAAAATGATACAAAAATAATAAAATAAATAAGGTAATCAATGGAAACTAACTTGAAATTGTTAAAAGTAAAATAAAAATATACGGGTGGGTTTTAATATTTTGCGCATTATACAAAGTATTAACATATCACTTCTTATTTTTTAGCAAAAATTATCTACAATAATTCCAACTTTACCAGACGGCTTGTTCTTTTAAAAAATAAATACTCCGTAGTACATTAAGACTCCGTATAGTGTGTAAAATGTTAAAACCCACCACTCCGTATATATTTATTTTATTTCTTACCAGTTTCTGTTTAATTTGTATTGATTATATTATTTATTTGATTAATTTTGTATGGTTTTAGTTATTTTTCTCATTTTCATTTTTTTATATCTATTTTTTCTAAGGTAAGAATAATCTTTAAAAAAGAAAAAGAAATGGAGGCTGAAAGTAATTCAAAAAATTTAAATAAAAATTTCAAAAAAAATTAAAAAACAAAAATTCATCAAAAATAATTTCAACTTTCATTTTGTTGCCTAAAATGGGCATTTCCGTTAACCCTCCGTTAGAAACTTAACGGCAACCCAAAATTGGCAAATTCCAATAAAGTTGGGATTATTATGCATCACAGTGAAAGGTGAGATTATTTTTGAAAGACCGAGTAAAGTTGGGATTATTTTAGGTAACTTTTTCTTGAAAAAACAACAACAATAATAACGCTCGGTACCTCATAATTTACTCGTATAAATTAATTAACATGTTTAATTATATTCTATGTCTTGATGAGCTGGTCAAATTTAATTTCTAGGTTAACTTTTGGCTCGAACGATAGATTGGCTCAGTTCGAAAATATTCCGTAATTGGGGACTTTTTATGGAATTTACTTTACTAATAATATATATTTGAACGGTGTAATTTTTTCTTTTTATTTCTCTACTAATTTGTAAATAAAATGATTTTAAAAGAGATAATCTTTTACACGTTATTCGAAATGTAGGTTACAATTTGGGGCAGAGGCAGGGAGTATTAAAATATATGTTTTTGAAAAATTCTTACTTTAGCGGATCGATATGATTGAGTTCGGATTTGACCTATTTTTAGCGGGTCATTTCGAGTTCGGTCAACTTCGTGTTCGAAAAGCAAAACCTTTGTCTAAAATCCTGTATTTTAGGGTCGAGTCATTTTTTGTCGGGTCTAGTCAAAATTACCTTGACCTAATAATAGTACTCCCTCCGTTTCTCAAAACGGTTTCTGTTTTGACTTTGGAGAAAAATAAGAAAAGTGTAATTTTAGTTGACTTTCCAATTTTGCTCCTGATGTGATGGGTAAAAATAAGATGTGATAGTTTAGTAATTAGTGAAAAAGTATGACGTGATAGGTAGGGTATGAAAAAGTAGAGGAAAAAATGGTTTTTTAATAAAAAAGGAAGTGTTTTAGGAAAAATAAAAAAAATGAAAGAGGAAGGGTTTTAAGAAACGGATGGAGTAGTAATTATTACAGACTATTATTGTTGTTGTTCTTATTATTATTATTATTGTTATTATTATTATTATTATTATTCCTAAAATAGTCATATTATGACTCTTGGTATCTGCGGTGCTTCATTAGTAAAATTGATGATTTTTACATTTCTAAGCCACCTTGCCTCCCCCTATATCTCCGATTTGGCAGTGCCAATAGAGTACTATTAAGTTTTTTTTATACGTAAGAGTGAGCGAAATAATGTGAATTGATTTTTTCCTAATTTCTCGCGTCACCCACTATCTCCACCTCAATATGCACTGCTTCTTTCCCCGCCACACTATCACCCTCTACTATACTGCCTCCCTACACAACATTATTACCTCCCACGAGCACACTTTTCACCTCCGCTGCACTACCACACTACTAGATCTGACAAAACAGAACCAGAACCGATTATCCGAATCTAAATATCTGAAACCGAAATCGAAAACCCGAAATAATCCGAATCGAATCGAAACCGAACTAAATAATTCATATCCGATTTAAATCCGAAACCGATTAGATCCAAAACCGATAATATCTGAACCGATTAAACCAGAAACCGATTAGATCCGAAACTGATAATACCTTAAACCGATTAGATTCAAAACCGATTATATCCGAAACCGGTTAGAACCTACATCGATAAATTTGGAACTATGTTTTCCTTTCAATAAGCATATTATATTTTTAAATTTTTACTTTTATTTTACCATTTGAACTAATTACATTACCTGCTCATTCCCACATAAAATGGATTATCTTCTTGAAAAAAAGAACAAAATTTCATGCCTTAAATTTATTATTTGTAGAAATTAAAGATAAGTTATACATATAAATGGGAATGCACAAACAAATAAAATTTCCGTAATTTTTAAATAGTGAAGTGTGATATTTCTTTTGAGACTAAAGAGTTATATGATGAATTGTATGTAATAACTAGATTTTATTCTGATTTCATCCCATTATAATAAATTTTATTGATTTGAGAGTTAATTTGATTAGTTTCAAACCAATTCACTCAATATTAGTCAATAATTTCTATAATTTTTTAATTGAAATTACTCAATATTAGTTTCAAACCAATTCACTCAATATTAGTCAATAAAATTACTCCCTCCGTCCCGGAGTATTCATCCAGTTTTGACTTTTGGAACTGTTCATCTAAGCACTTTGACTCATCAAATTCTCTCAATGTGTAAGCCTAAATATAGTCATGTGTGATCTTGTTTGATTTGTCTTAACATATGGATTATTAATATATAATTTCTATAATTTTTTAATATACAAATTACAAGATAAAATGGATTAAAGAAGTGTATTGGATGTGTGTAAAAATGAAAGTGGACAAATACATTGGGACAGAGGTAGTAGATGCTAGTGTTAGCATTTTAAAAAGACTCTCTAGCGACATCATTTAGTGTTATCATTTTTCAAATTTGATCTACACCATTACATTTAAGTGTAAAATTAATTAAATTTGACTCTATTAAATTTAATTTAATCTATTTTCAACAAAATACACTCAATAATTTATAAATTTTGCACTCAATTGAATAAAATTCACTTAATTTCATCCAATTTTACTCAATTTTTTACCAAATTATATTCAAATGGAACATAACACTATTTGAATTTATCTCTTATCGATTCATTTATAAACATAAGTATATTAGTAGTTTGAGAAAAGTTTGATATTTCAAAACAAAATTTTAAAATCAATTTAATTATATTAAATTTATATCATAATTAAATATATATTTGTTTTCACAATTTATAGTCCAAATTTGTAAAATATGACTAAAAGGTCAAAAAGGGAAGATTATTTAGGTTAGAGATAATATATTTAGAAAAATATATAAAATAATATGAGGTATTGAATTGATGATAGATAAATGTGATAAAACATAAAAAGAAATATGGATAGTTAAATTTCAATTAGAAAATAATATATATCCAAAATATATTTGATCCGAAACCGAAATATATCCGAACCGAACTAGACCCGAAACCGAAATATATCCGACTCAAATTGTATCCGAACCGAAATCTATCCGAACTGATTTATAACTGAACCGATTTGAAACCGAACCGAACCGAAAAATGTATCGAACCGAATCAAATCCGAACCGAAACTTAACCAATCCGAACCGAACCGAACCGATTATAACATATAACCGAAAGATATCCGAACCGAAAAAATCCAACCCGAAACTGATCTGGTTGAACCTATTGCCACTTCTACACAATACCACAATCAACAACGTCAACACCACATGTCATCTTCTGCCGTTATACTGCCTTCATCACCACCATATTTGACATGCACCACATTGCCATCACCACCACCAATGTTGCCGCCACACCGTTCCCTCCGCTGTCATGCTGTCAATTCTGCTGCTACAGTGTCACTCTTCCCCACCACACTAACATCATCACCACCACCACTCCACCACAACAACATAAGAGCACTGGAAATGGATTTGAAGCTCAGGCTTCAAACCAAGACTTTAAACTTTATCTCTCTGCCACATCAGTTTTAATCCCTTTTTAACTTAAATTACAATTTCACTGAAAATGAATTTAAAGTCTCGAGGTTACAAGTAAATAAGGACTTATAAAAAGAGTTGAGTCCATAATTTCTATCACATTTAAGATTACATTTATGCCCTTGGAAATTTAATATTGAGCATACGATTCCTAAATTTAAGGACTATAATAATTGCTTACCTTTTTATGCTTATTGAATTGTCAAAGAATATTTTAATCCCAACCCTCTACTCAATCTAATCGAATGGATGATGGTTATTCTTATTTCTTTCATATAACATCATTCTCACCAGAACCGCACTATATATATATATATATATATATATATATATATATATATATATATATATATATATATATATATATAGACACATTACATACTTTGGAATATGCATTAATAGTATGTGTAGTGTACATAGTTGAGGAACTGCATATCGCGATAAGTTAATTAATAACCGAGTTAGACTCAGGTCATTCTTTCCAAGAGTGACGAAGAGAATAATTGGTTTTATTATTTACCAGAGACTAATTTATAGTCTAATAGTCTTCTTAAATGTGCGAAGAAATTAAGAATTCAAATGATTAAAATAACTAAAACAATTTCAGGAGTTAGGGGCTGTTTGTTCCAGCCTCTTAATGGTTCAGATGTCTGAATGGTTCAGCACTTAATGGTTCAGACTGTTTGTTTCAGCCTCTTAATGGTTCAGATGTCTGAATGGTTAAGAGATTTGCTTCTGAATGGTTAAGTATTATACAGAGTCTGAATGGTTAAAACCTATTATCTGAATTGATTAGACATTTGCCTCTGAATAGTTAAGCAATATACTAGCTCTTAATGGTTCAGACCTCTTACTGGTTCAGCACTTAATGGTTCAGACCTCTTACTCGTTCAGCACCTACCTATTCAGAAGTTGCCAAACAGCTCTTAGCATTGGATCTCAGACTCAACATAATTTAACTCATATTTAATTGGCAATTAGATTAATGAAATGTGTAGCACTTATGTTTAATATATCTCCTATTTCTAAGTATCAATATAAAACATAAATACTAATCTTATACTACCTCCGTTTCTCAAAACAATTCCCCTTTTGACTTTGGGGAAGAATAAGGAAGTGTTAAATTGTAGTTGACTTTCCAATTTTGCCCTTGATGTGATGGGTAAAAGTAAGATGTGATGGTTTAGTTGTTAGTGAAAAAGTATGATGTGATAGGTAGAGTATGAAAAAGTAGGGATAAAAGTGGTTTTTTAATAGAAAAGGGAAGTGTTTTAAGAAAAACAAAAAAATGAAAGAGGAAGGGTTTTAAGAAACGGAGGGAGTATTTAATAAATCTCCTATTTCTAGGTCTCAGTATTAAATTATAAGATTATTATATTTCTAGTACATACTCATAGACAAGACAAGAACTATTTTTCAAAAACTTAATTAATAAAATATATAGTAATATTAATTAGTTAGAATCATTCCAAACGATTATTTCTAGCCCTGCCTATTTCTAGGTGTTTGGAACGTGTGGCTTAATTAATCTTCTTACCCCATAGACAAGATAAAAGATTAATTTTCCAAATATTAACTAATAATAAAAGAAATTCTATTAACTCATCCTTACTAAATCATTTTCTAACAATTACTCCAATTAGTAATTAAAATATGGAATTAAATTGGTTAATTTTAAATTCTGAATCCTAACCCATGTAAAATTACCAATTCATATTCTCAAATAAAACATTCAACACCACCATAATAATTTATATAATTCTCAAAGGAATATTAATCAATAATATATTTCAAAGAAACAAAAGGATATTTTATTGATAACAATTCAATAAAGATTACAATAAAATGAAAGACAAAATTACAATGCTCCAACAACTTGAGAATTGACTTCGGATGATATGAAAATTAACAAACACAAATTTATTACTCCGTACAATATTTGAGGAAGAAAATAGGCAAATTTCGCCTCCAATAGGGGGAAAACAGAGTGGAAATTTCTTAGGGAAGAATAGAAAAGCGTAGGGCTTTTATAGGAGGAGGGTCGCCAGCAGGCAGGCAAACCGGCAGCCGCTGGTCAGCCCGTCGTCTCTGTCACCACAGATCTGGAAGTTTTGTCGTCGTTGGTCACCGTGGACAGGCGGGCAGGCAGGCCCCCCTGCCAGACCGCCGGCGCCACCTCGTCGCCTGCTGCTTCATTTGACCGTCGCCGCTTCCTGAACGGCGGCCGCCTGCTGTGCCGCTCAAGTTCATCGATGCTATCTTACTCGAAATCACGTTCTGATTTTTTTTTTTCCTTTTGCACCGACTTCAAATTCTGTACCGTTTGTGAGATAGAATTATTTTTCTATTAAAAATTAATTCTTTCTATTCCATTCATGACCCAATTTTGCATATTAATTCAAACACATCTTTTTATGATCCAATTATCAAGAACACATTATTTTGATGAAAAAGAACAAAAAATTTATTAATTTGATCATTAAAATAGTACAAGAACGTATTAAATATGAGTAAAAAGATAAGTACGAAATGGATTTATCAAGAGTACATACTCCAATATACAAAGTAATATATACTCTCTTCGCCCCTAAAAGAATTATCTGTTTACTATTACGGTCTCCCAATAATTATTACTTGTTTGCGTTTTTTTCATTGATCATTTAATAAAACAAAATATACATGTCACATCTTATTTTGTAAAGTTTTCGATGTAGTTTTTAAAAATAATTTTTTTATTTTTTATTTCTTTACTAATTTATACTCCGTAATTAGAATCATTTTAAAAGTCACATAATTTTGCATGTTAATCAAAGAAGGGAATTTTTTAGGATGGAGTGAGTATAAAATAAAACCCCATATGTTCCATGAAAGTTCTTCCATACCAAAAAATATTTATAGTCCTTATGTAGGCCCTATTCTTTTGAATTTAATTTAAAAATTGAATGTTGGAAGAAACATGAAAAAACTAGAAAAAACTGAAATGAGTTGGAAAATGTTAAAAGACTTTAAATGTTAAAAAATTGCTCAATTAAATATTCATTCAAAATATATATGTAAAAATAGAAATGTGCATCGTTTATACACGAACATCCTCTATCCACCGTTTATCCACGAAATATAATAATGGGGAGTATGTACACTGCACATCCATTCCTTTAATATAATCTTTCATGCTCGGATCACCAGAACTTGACACATGGAATGCCTACGTGGAGTTTTTTTGACACGTCAATGATGACTGTATGCATTAATTGAATATAAAATCATTCAAGAAAAGTCTTTGTATATGGTAACTTTTGAATAATCATTGACCATTATAAGCAAATAATTTATGGTAACTTTTAAAACTTGATATTTATATATTTGATAAGTTTACAGTAATATATTTGATATTACAAAAAAAATTACATTCTTTAAATTTGTTTAACTTATATTTCATTTATTTGACTATTTTAACATCTTTTTACTTCTTTAATATGCTCTCAATTTTTGTCACATATCATATTCGAAATTATTTTTGTGACCCATATTCATTCTAATTTTTTTATTTTTTTAAGATTAAATGACATGACACAAGAAACAAATACAAAGTCCATGGGATGTTTTAAATTTTTTTGATCATTTTTAGCAAATAGTTTATTATAATCTTTAGAAATTGTTATTTTAATATTTGATTAGTTTAAAACAGTATATTTGATATTAGAAAAATATTATGGACTTTTGAATTCAATGAAATTTAAGTAAATAAATGAAATAAAAAATATAATTTTTCAATAAAAATTAAGTGAACTATTTATAACAAAAGACACTAAGGGGCTGTTTGGCAACTTCTGAATGGGTAAGTGCTGAACCAGTAAGAGGTCTGAATCATTAAGTGCTGAACCAGTAAGAGGTCTGAACCATTAAGAGCTAGTATATTGCTTAACTATTCAGAGGCAAATGTCTGATCAATTCAGATAACAGCTCTTAACCATTCAGACTCTGTATAATACTTAACCATTCAGAGGCAAATCTCTTAACCATTCAGACATCTGAACCATTAAGAGGCTGAAACAAACAGTCTTAATCATTAAGTGCTGAATCATTCAGACATCTGAACCATTAAGAGGCTGAAACAAACAGCCCTAAACGTTATAACAAAAGACATTAAGAGAATTTATTATTATATTATTAATGCATATTTAAATTTGTAAGTTATAAAAGTAAAGAGGCACCAATCGTTATTCCAAAAAAGTACGGAGTATGTAAGATGTATGTGTGTATGCATGCATGCGTGCGTGTGTGTGTATATATATATATACACACCCATTACACATCAATAGAATTTGTCAGACTAGATAGATTATATGAATAATTATTAGAGAAAATATCTTGTTCAAAAAAAAATTCTTGAAAGATCCTCGGAATAAACGCTTTCAATTTATCCACCATGGGTAACTGCAAACAAAGGTTGTTATTATTATTGTTTTAATTCTATAATTATTTCTTAATTTTTTCATACGGATTTGTCAACCATAGGGGAGGGAAGGAGGATAAACAGGTTATGGGAATGTGCACTTTTTTAGAGCTCAAAAGAATATTTCTAGTTGGTTTTTCTCATGTATTCCCTCTATCTAAAAATATTTTTATTTTATATTTGGGACGTGACAAAAAAAACTTGTTTTTTTAGAAAAATTTTGAGTAACTTGTAATCTTTCTTTCTTCTGCATCATTTTTAGTCATATATTTTTATTTTTCTTAAACTTAATGGCAAGTTAAATTGAAATTTTTTTTAGGACAAAGAGTACAATTCACAAAGCTAATTTACTTTGTTAACTTATTTTCACTATGAATTTCATAATGCGGAGTATAATATAACTATGCAATCTCTTTGCTAGTTTAACTTCGTAGAACTTTTATCTACTTCTTTAAATTTATAAATTTTAGCATTTTGGTTTTAAAAATGATTACAATCAACTATATTGATTTAAAAATTAAAATTAAGGCTCCTAACACATCAAAATCTACTACTTATTTTTATTGGCCATATGCACTTGAATCAAATAAAAAATACTTAGATCATAGCAATCTTATTATGTTATTTAAACAAACTATTATATTAATTATAATAATAATTATTTGAATTAAAATTCTAATAATAATTACTCCATATTATTATTTGAACTCAAACTCAAATTCAAATAATAATAATTTTTATTGTAACTATATTTTAAATTCAAATACGATTATATTTATTTAGATTAGATCACATCAGATCTATTCAAATCAGATAATTTCAGATTTGTTTAAATCTAATCACACCAAAAACATTTACGAAGTAATTCAGATTTGGCTGGATTTGCCGATGAGAACGCAACTTGATTCTCGAGGTTTTCGAAAAATATAATTATGCCCCCACGAAAAAATGTAATGCCCAAATTCACCTTTCCCATATCCACTTGTGAAAAAGGTCAAAACATTTTAAATCTATGACTAAAAAATAATTTTGGTAATTTATTTATGTACAACGTGTAACTTTTAAACTTAAAATGTTTTATTTACTTTACCATATAATTTGCATAGTTATTCACAACAGTGAGATGAGATTTAAATAGTATATTTTCCAAAAAAAAAAATCAAGGCAGTATCTCCAACCCTCGCCCTTTTTTCGAGTCTCCTAATTTTTTAGATTTGTCTGTCCGCCACTTCATGAATGGATTTCAAATTACCGCCTTTAAAATTAAAAGATTGGTTAAATTATTAAAAGTGTTATGTTTCCACGTAGCAAAATAAAGATCTAGCATACATAAAAAAAGTGAAGTCCTAATCAACTTAAGCTTTTTGATCCGGGTTTGATTTTTCCCGATTGTTGAACGTGAGTTTAGCAGAAAAATGAGCTACTCGTCTGTGATTTAGGTTGACTTGGCTAAAAAAATTTGAGATTCCATCGGCCGTTATGTGGGCCAACTTTTGTCCAAACATTAGGTCACGCTAATTAATACTTGATGGAGGGTGTTGGAATTCTCACTTCGAAAAATAAAGATGAATATTACGAGCATATATAGAAAGGTGAAACCCTACCTATCAACTTAAACTTTTGTATTAGAACAGTGGATAACGGATTTATATGCGAGTCGTTAGTTATTTATTTTTACCCGGCACTCTACGCGTTGTTCTCGACCCACTTAAATTTCTACAAAAAAGAATTTTTGTAGAATATGATTAGAAACACGCAAGCCGGGTCAAGCTAATCTTGTACAATATTATTATTTTTACTATAATTATTATTGTTCTTCTTATCATTATTATTAAAAATGAATCATAATTATGTCTTTGAGAGCAGACAACTTACGATGTCTTACAATGAGACCACGATGAAGTTATTGCTCAAAATGCTAGTTCTCAAATTAATATTGTTACATGGAGTATCAAGTGAATGCAATGCAAAACCTTACTGTCGGTGTTATGGATTATGCCACGAAGTAGACTCAGCACAATTTGGTGGTGATGATATGATTTTGATACAAATGTGTAGCACATTTTGTGATGATATAATAAAAACTAATTGTGGTGCTACGTCTCTCGATTGTCCATGTGGTATAGGGGACCCTTTCTGCCCCTAAACTAAAGGGTCTAAAGCTGGCAATGGTGACTTTTCTGTATGCTCTACCATAATTAAATGCTAAATGCTATGAGTATTATGGTAATCTTCAGGGAGCTAAATAAATATGTAGATTCAAATATAATTCTGACTAATGCTTCCGTTCACGCAGTTTAAAATACATTCTAAATTTATAATGTTTCTCTTATATTTTATTCTATGTGTATAATATAAAGTTATTTTTTAATTTTATGGGTAAGAAATACTCCCTCCGTCCTTGAAAACTCGATCTTCCTGTTTTAACTTTTTAGGTAAATAGTAACATTTTTACTATGGATTGTAAAGAAAAGTATATTGAATTATAATACGCAGTATGAATTTAATATAATTTGTTTCGTCTTATATATAATTTCGATAATCAAATTTTTATACCATTTATTTATTTAGATTATGCTTAATTTGTGGTCAAAGAATTTCACTGTTTGATTAAAAAAAGTTAAAACATAAAGAATTTTTAAGGACAGAGGGAATATATGATATGAAGTATATTATCTCAGTGTCTTAAAAGCTTATGCCCATTGCGGGGTAAATTTTATATGAATGTATTTTAACCGTTAGATATGTTAGACAACAACAACAACAACAATAATGGTAGTATTAAGTATGATATAGTCTTTGTATTTTTAAACAATTTCGATATTGATTCTTATTTCTAGTTCGATTATAATCTTCATATACATACTGTGTCATGCATTATTCCTTTATTCCTTGGTAATATAATTATTCTACTATTTAATATCGTATCGGAACTAAGGTCTCTCTTCTAAAAACCTAGCCTCCCATCTTTTACGACTGTTTGCCACAAATGATCTTCATCGTTGATAGCCGATCGCCATAGATCATGACCTCTCCATCCATTATCCCTCACTTCTCTAAAAAATATTATGAGCATGCCTAACAGCTGATGTCTTTTATTTGTCTTTCTATGTAAAAAAGTGTGTGTGTGTGATTGAAGAGTTGCAAAGCTACATTTGTATGTGTTTGCTCTAGAGTTTGAGAGCATTAAAACCCATAGAGAAGCAGATAATGGTATAAAAGGAGAATAAAGAAACTTTTCATTAACCAATAATATGGTAATATTTTTTTTCAAAATAAACTTACAAAACTTATGAAATTGCACAATAGATTATTCTACAAAATGGAACAAATTTATTATTTAAAAATAATAATAGTGCCATTCTTGAAAAAACACTTAAATCTGATATTATTATAAAATAAATTTTATAAAAGAAATTAAAATTTAAAATTTAAAATTTAAAATTAAGAATTTAAAAATGAAAAAAAGAGAATCAGGTAATAATTCTTTTCTCCAAAATAATGTTACAAAATTTGTGAGATTGCACAATAAATTATTCTACAAAATGGAACTAATTTATTTATTCCATCACTCATTACTTTTTTTTGTATGTTGCAATTGTTTTATTCAGTGGCATTTCAAATTATTTTTTGATAATATACTATATATTATTAGTTTTTAAGAAAATGGTATTACGAAACTTGTGATTTTTTTATAATTCACTATAAATATATTTTTGCAAAATATCCCTAGAATAGTTGTGAAAATGACCCAATAACTTTTTCTTTGAAATGAAATTATTACTCCGTATTTTTATACACACTACATTTTTTGTATTGCAATTTTTTTATTATCAACACTTAAATTATTTTTTGATAATACACTATTATATTTTTATCAAAATAGAATACCAAATTTGTAAATCGTTATATTTTTAATAAAATGTTGAGATAAATTTCTAGCAAGAGTGTACTCTTATAAGACACAAAAATAGACTAACAAAGTGAATAAAGTTTGACCCTGTGAATAGTGAACGAGAACTTTATTGTTGGACGGAGGGAATATAATTGATAATGACTTGTGAAGTTCGATCATGTATGCATCTAGGCAATGTCTATCAAGATAAAAATTTAGGAAAAATTACCCAAAATAATCCCAACTTTACCCGGTCTTTCAAAAATAATCTCACCTTTCACTGTGATGCATAATAATCCCAACTTTACTGAAATTTGTCAGTTTTGGGTCGCCGTTAAGTTTCCAACGGAGGGTTAACGGAAATGCCCATTTTAGGCAACAAAATGAAAGTTGGGATTATTTTTGATGAATTTTCATTTTTTTTATTTTTTTTGAAATTTTTATTTAAAATTTTTGAATTACTTTCAACCTCAATTTCTTTTTCTTTTTTAAAGATTATTTTTACCTTAGAAAAAAATAGATATAAAAAATAATGAAAATGAGAAAAATAACTAAAACCATACAAAATTAATCAAATAAATAATGTAATCAATAGAAATTAAACAGAAACTGGTAAGAAATAAAATAAATATATACGGAGTGGTGGGTTTTAACATTTTACACACTATACGGAGTCTTAATGTACTACTTCTTCCG